CTTCATTTCTCGCCCCCTTATGAATTTTCCTATCTACGCCCCTGCACAAAATTGCCCGAATTCAACCAGCATTTACCCCAGCCCCTCTGGCTCACGCCTATATATATATATATATATATATATATATATATATATATATATTTATATATATATATATATATATATAATTATGGGGGGCCAACTGTACCCCATGATCCAACATACGGACTTATTACAAGAGGCATCAAGACAAGACTCCAAGGCACTAGACAGTATCCAGGTTTTGCTTCCATAGAGCAATACTGGTAGTATCAAGGCCTTGAAGACATGTAGCTTGATCCTTCTGCATAGGTACCGATATTTCCAAATGCTCTTTTTGAGTTCATGGCTCCTGCTGCCAGACCAATTCGTCTACTGACTTCTTGGTCTGACAGCCCAGAGACATGGACAATGCTACCAAGACTGTAAAGTTTTCTGTCCATACCACAAGCATGTATCGACTGAACAGGTACAGGAGACCTCTAGGCACATTGCTAAACACATCAAGAGCCACCACCAGTGATTCCAGAGACATCATCAGCAAAGTCAAGGTCAGTGACCTTGATATGCCCAGTGTTGCTCTACACTAACTTTGGATAATAGCTCTGCCCATTATCTAGTCAATGCAAATGTTGAAAAGTGTGGGTGCAAGGACACAGCCTTGCTTCACCCTCGAGTTAATAGGGAAGTTCAACAGGCCCCCACAATTTACAGTACTTTTGGAACCAGTATATAGGCTTGCTATTAAGCCAATAATCCTTGTTGGAATTCCTCAAAGTCTCAGGATCTCCCATTGCGATTTGTGATGCACCAAAACGCCTTCTGAGGTTGATGCAAGTTGCAAACAGCCCAAGACAAAACTCACGACGGCGTTCGGTAGTGACTCGAAGCACTAGGGTACAGTTTATTGCCAATTTGCCAGGAGTGAATCCAGACTACTCTGGTTTCTTGTCTCTTGGTAGGTGGTCACGGGTCTGCATCAGAAGGATGTGGATGAAAACCTTGCTTGGTATACTGAGCACTGTGATATCATGGTAGATGCTACAGTCCCATCAATCCCCTTTACCCTTCCAGAGAAAGATGACCACACCCTTCAACAGATCAGGGGGAATGGAACCAAACTGTCAGATGGAAGTCAAGACAGTATGTAAGCCCTTTGCTATAGGTTCACCCCCAGCCTTTAGCAGCTCGGCAGGGATATCACATATGCCTGCAGCTTTCCCATCCTTCAGCTTAGAGATTGCCTCCCTAACCTCAGTTAGGGTAGGAGGTTCCTCACTGATAGGTGGGTCTGGCCAGGTATTGCAATACCACTGGCATCCAGACTACCTACTGGTGGGTCTACCTGGTACAGCTGCTCAAAATACTCAGCCTAACATTCATGAACCCTAACATGACCTAAGATAATCTGTCCATAAACAGAGCGGACTGCAGTCATCTGCAAGGAGGGCTTAGAATTCAGTTTTCTCAGGGCTTGGTAAGCAGGGCAAAGGTCATTTACCAAGAAATGGCCTTCAACTTCCTAAGCAAGGTGAACTGTTCCTTGTCCCTTCTCAGCAGTGTCTGAGCCCTGCACACCAGGTCATTCAGCTGAGCCATACTTCTGTGGGTACACCCCTAGCTCAATCTGTCCAGTCTGTCACTAGAGGGACAAAGAGTTTTACAGTGGACCTGTAGGGTAACCACAACTAACCTATGGTCATGCCACAGAACTCGGCCATCTGGTAAACCCTACAATTTTGGAGGATCCTCCAGCAAGTGCTGACATGAACGTGGTTGATCTCCTTGGCCACAGTACCCATATTGCTATACCATATCCAGCTATGCAGATTGGAGAGCTAATACTAGGAGCCAGAAATTCTCAATCTCTGGGACCTAGCAAAGTCCTGGAGAAGAGGCTGTTCTCACTGCAGGGATCAGCTCCCGAACCATGGGGATGTTTGGTTACCATAGATGCCAATTCCTTATCGAGCTTGCAAACATCAGTAGGAATGTAACATCAGCAAAAAAAACATGAAGGCAAAAACATACTTTCGTCTCAATGCCATAATACATTCCTCAACCAGTGGTGTCTCTACTATTGGAGATGGCTATGGCTACTCCCTGAAGATGAGGACCATATCCCTGGCCCAACCAGTAGTAGGTGTACCCACCCATAATGATCATACCTATACCACCTCTGAGAGGGTAGGCACCTCAACTCCCAACGGCTTCAGTTACCTCGATAGCAGGGGTAACCACTCATCCTGCTGTAGGGATGATGTTCTAAGCTCCTACCCGGACAGCTCACCCCCCATATAAAGGGGGGTGACATGCTGTGGGACCCAATGTCCACTATTGGGGTTCCCTTAGGCTTTGTCCCACTGGCCTCACAATGGATTGGCAGCTGCTAGGGCACAGGCAGAGTGAGTAACGCTCTCCCAACAGGACCCACAGCCCACCTCATTTGCTATATATACACATATATATATATACATATATA